AAACGGAAAAGGTACAAAGTAAGAAGACAAGCGGAGATAATTTCAATTCATTTCGGCGAAATAATTGAATTCCTGATGTTCAAGGATTCAGTTCAATTATCAACTAGCACATGATTTTGGAAAGTTAACATTGGGGATAATACTCTTAGGTAGCTATCGCTTTTTATGTTTTTTTTTTTTGGAATGGAAACTAAAGACGTAGGCTACGTCTAGGCCACTGTATTTTCACCCCCAGACGATTATTTCTGGTGGAAGATACCGGAAAGAGATGGATTCAGAAATGATTCACAGATTCTTGCAAACGTTCCAGAGCAGAAGAATTTCATTGAGGCTTTACTAATTCACCCAAAGAATTTTCGAAATTTCTCAACGATCTCAATACGATTTGAAGCTATTAATTTTTATTTAGTTCAATGATCAAAAAATAATCTTTTCGGAGATTTTCCGAGATATTCGCAGAAAAAGCTGTTCCATATTTTTGTACTCACCCCTTTCTACTACTCCACTGACAAATTCAAGTAAATCATCGATTTGTATTTTGAGATTACTTTTAGATCCAGATTATCAATCTTCAATTATCTCCATTGATGACTTTGCGGAGACTTGATTTATTGAAATTACATATACTGCCGAGCAGTGCAGTTCTGTCATTTGCAACCGCAGGTGCTGTGGATTGACTTTTTGATTGCTCTGATGGCACTGGCATTGGTGGAGGTGGAGGTTTCACGTTGTTATTTGTGTTATTGCTGTTCCTCAAAGAATGGCCTTGATTTTGGTGCTCGTTAGAACCTTCAATGGATGAATAAAGAATAATCAACACAGCAATAAACCATTCTATAGAAGATCGAGGAGAGAGAGAAAATTGAGAAAAATTGTATAGATCAGCCCATGCTTTTCAAGTACTCCATTACTTATTCAAAGTGATAATGCACCTTTTGATGATCTACGTGTCATAATCGAGCGCAGTACGCGCCATCAACTTTTGTGTCCAGCTGGATCGAAATTTAAATATTCGGTAAAATGTTAAAATGTTTATATGATATTAGAAAAATTTTGAAATTAATACGTGCAACTAGTTCATTTTTCCATGCAGTACGAGGAAAATATATTTTCTGGAAACTGTCTATCTGGAAATTTTATATTATTCTATGTCTATTGTTATGATGTTTCTTGATTAAGGCATTGGAATATTATAGTAATTACCGTGCGATGGAGGTGTCAAGGTTCCGACACTGGTCGTGGTGGACGTGCTAGTAGGACTATCAGATCTTTCCGGACTTTTCCCATTGATCTGTTTGACTCCATTACTTCCCAGGTGGCTCGAGGATTTTTGTTCTTGGGCTAATTTCTGCTCTTTTTTCTATAACATAGAAACACAAGGAACACTCATTACACTTAAAAGTCGTCAATGCTCTGAAAATTTAAATAATAATTAAAACAAATAAAATAATAATCTGAACCTCAACAATAAAATCCACTCACCAACTTATGCTTTCGTTTCTTCATCTCTTCATCGGAGGTCATCATCTCCTGAACCTTGACGAGTCTCTTCTGATGCCTGGCCACCTTCTGCTCGTCCCTCAGTCTCTGTTCAGCCTTATTGGCAGCAGCCAAGAGTGCCTCCTTCAAATGACTACTCAACTTGAAATGGGGTTTTTCAACAGAACAACCGGCGCTCCCTCCCCGCCTCGAGCTGTCGAAGAAGGGATGCTCCAGGAGTCTTGAAAACGTGGGAAGATCCTGTTTCAAGGCTTCAGGCGAAAGTATCACCTCCAGAAGGTTCTTCAGATGGACATCACAGTGTGGCAGATCTGTGCACGTGGCTTCCAGCAGAGGTCTGCCAAATGCCATCTCGTATAGCACATGACCAAGTGCATAAACGTCTACTTGTGTCGTCGCGTGGAGTTTCCTCCTCTGAACGACATAGGGTCTGTAGAAAGTCGGCAGGCCAAGGAGTCCATTTTCGATGTCAAGTAATTTAGCGCCTGTAAACAAAATAAAAACATAAATTCTAAATTAATATTGACTCATTGAACGAAAATATAAAGAAGACTTCATTTTAAAAAAATTTCAAAGTGTTTGGATATTCGTATTAATGGCAAAAATAAGATTTAAAATTTTCAAGTCAAATGAATTTTCCACCTGTTGGAGTGATGAGAACATTTCCAGTGTGCAGATGTCCATAAGGAAGTCCCTTTTCATGTAAATAACTGAGTGCCTCTAATATTTGATAAGAATACGTTGCTATTTCCGAAGAGGTCAGCGGTTTTGGTTGTTTCGGATTTCCGTACTTCTTGATGAACGGTTGCTTTGGTTTTGTGTTGCATAAAATGTCCCTCAAGGTGCCATTGGGGTGGAAATTTCTTATGGTGAGGGCTCCTGTGTCTGTCACGTGCTGATGGACAATTCCTTCAATGTTTGCATGCTTCAGAGTCCCCAGACTCTTAAACACACCCTGCATGTCTTTGTCTTGGAGATGCTTGTCTGGTCCAAACTCCACCCATGCTAATAAGAGCTCTTGCTTCGGGTTCTGACGGTTCTTTACTGTGTAATAGTGCTTTCTCAACCGCCAGCCCATATCCACAATCGGTTTGCCAATCTCGAAATTTGCATCGCTGCGGAGTGCCAGGGACACCTGTTGCAGTGCTATCTCTGGGGGACAAATTATTCAAATATTTATTTATTAAATGTATTATAATTACAACATATAAACTCATTTATCAGTCAGCATTATAGCTAGTTTTATGGTTTATCTAGTTATCAATAGAAGAAATTATTTATATTCTTGTAATTCTGTGCAATTTAATTAATTTTCTGATGCAATAAATGGGGACATAATGTGATGGAATTACCGTGCAGAGGTGCCGTGTAGTTGTTGGGATCGAGAAAATGTTTCATTGGCAGCGACGATGCCAATATGGGATTCATTAGTACCGTATTTAAATAATTCTGCAATCCAATTTGTCGCTGAGCTATGAAGTCAGTATCCATATTACCAATAATTCTCTTAGGGGGCAATGGTAACTCAATCCCTGACAGGGATAAAGCTGTATTGAGTTGAACGAATTCATTGTACCGTCTGCTAACACGCCAAGATCTCTCAGGCAGTGGACCCCGCTGTGTCCTAATCACATATTCCTAGAAAAAGCAGAAAAAAAACTCTAAAAATAATTAAAATCAGTCACGGGAGATATCTTCTATGTGGTCATTGCTCAGAATGTTACGGAGAATTCATTCAATTCAAGATTATTTCAAATAACATTTAACTATCATCTATAGATTTTTTCAATATTTCCAGAATTATTTTTTTAATCATGAAATTCTCAAAAATTCTCCAGCCAAAAATATTTCCAGAGTACGCATAATAAATTTAATATGCACGAGCATCTCCTTGAATTCTGGAGACTGAATTGAAACTGTCAAAAAATTTTTAACATCTCTGTAACATTCCACATGAAAAAAAGTGGAAAAAAATGAAGTTAAAATTACCGTGTGACCGTTAATAGTCCTAGCATTTTCGATGACACATGTCAGCTTCTCTGTATCATCTAGCAACACTTTATTCGTGTATTTTTTCTCGAATAAAGCCATTGATCATCAGTAATTTGGGGTGCAGAGCCCGTGATGGGCGTACTGCGTTTTCCTACCGCGTAGTTTCCCAGCGGCGCCATAAATGACGCAAAGATTCATCTCAGCATTGATTTATCAATTCACACTTATTTCATTGACTATTGACTAGCTGGCACTTCGATATTGATTGATTTTCAAAAGACTGGAATGATTTTTCAGTTCTCAACTATTGAAGGTGACTGTCGTCCTTGACGTCTGCGGACACACTTTCGCCATTTTGTTGTCACGTTGCCATGTTTTTCCACGTCAGAGATGTCAGGCGCTGAATAAAGTTGACAGGTCTAAATTTCTTGACATTATTCAGGGGTTTCTACCGGTTTTTCTGGATTTTGGAGCACATGGAAGAATATTTCCAGGTTTTAATTGACCTGTCAAAGGTTTCACTGACACTCCGGTAATTCGGAACGATCGATTCACTAAATTCTGGTTTTTGTTGATATGCACTTGGTTCGTTCGAATTCTTTGAGATGGTGGCGCTTTTGAATTTTGCAAGATATTTATTTTATATTTGATTTATTTATATAGATGTTGCTCGTGTGGAGGGATTTCGTACAGTAGAAATAGCGCAAAATATAATTCATGCTATCCACGTTTTTTTTTTATATTCTGATAATTGCGCGAAATTTTTGAATTTTGAAATATCGTCAATTAAGACATTCAAATTATGCATATTATTTTCAAATATTTATCCATTTTAACTTGCAATAGTTTTTATGACTGTTCAGCAATTTTCAAAACAATTTCGGTGCCTTTTCAATTTAAGTCTCATATTCACGTAAATATATTAATTATAGTACTGAA